ATTTTTAAAAATTATTCCCTATTTAANAAAAAGGCAAATGGAGGCTTTCTGGATGATTTTGCACAAATCACCAAGGGTTTTTGATTTATCATCCCACGGCACAGGCTACATTTAGCCTGTTGAAGCTCTGGAAGAACCCATCCACGTTCAAAGATGCATCAAAGAGGTCTTGTTTTGTTGACTGGACTCTTCTTCTGAGCCAGCCAGACTGACTGTCAGCAGAAAGAGGAGAGGTAGTGCCAAGACTGGAGGTCCTTGCTCTCCCCAAAAACTGTTACAACAGAGCAGTGGGAGGACCTCAAGGGAACCAGTAGCCTTCTAAACGTTGAGTTGCCTTTTCCAACAACTGGCGTAGCTAAAGTTTCTAGACAACGTAGAATCCAAGCTGGAAGGGGGACTTCGGAGGCCTTCTAGTCCTTTTACGATCCCAGTCAAATGTTGTAATAATAATAATAATAAAGTTGGAAGGGACTTTGGAGGTCATCGAGTCCAACCCCCTGCTCAGTCAGGAACCCTACACCATTTCAGACAAATGGCTGTCCAGTCTCTTCTTAAAAACTTCCAGTGTTGGAGCATTCACCGCTTCTGGAGGCAAGGAGTTCCACTGGTTAATTGTTCTAACTGTCAGGAAGTTTCTCCTTAGTTCTAAGTTGCTTCTCTCCTTCCATCCGTTGCTTCTCGTCCTGCCTTCAGGCGCCTTGGAGAATAGCTTGACTCCCTCTTCTTTGGGGCAGCCCCTGAGATACTGGAAGACTGCTATCATGTCCCCCCTCGTCCTTCTCTTCATTAAACTAGACGTACCCAATTCCAGCAACCGTTCCTTATATGTTTTAGCCTCCAATCCTCTAATCATCTTTGTTGCTCTTCTCTGCACTCTTTCCAGAGTCTCAGCATCTTTTTTACATCGTGGTGACCAAAACTGGATGCAGTATTCCAAGTGTGGCCTTACCAAGGCCTTGTAAAGTGGTATTAATACTTCACATGATCTTGATTCTATCCCTCTGTTAATGCAGCCTAGCACTGTGTTGGCTTTTTTGGCAGCTGCAGCACACTGCTGGCTCATATTTAGGTGATTGTCCACTAGGACTCCGAGGTCCCTCTCACAGTTACTACTATTGAGCAAGGTACCCCTTATACTATACCTGTACATTTGGTTTTTTCTTGCCTAAATGTAGAACCTTGCTTTTTTCACCATTGAACTTCGTTTTGTTAGATAGCGCCCAGTGTTCAAGTCAGTTCAGCAACATCTTTAGAAGCTGGAATTGGCCCTTGACAAGAAGAGCAAACTTGGCCTCTAAGCAAGCTTGCATTCCTGGAGATCTCAGATCTGAGATCTAAGAAACAGGATCCTGGGAGTATTTTCTGGACAGCTTCCTCAAGCAGCAATCTTTTAACGAGATAACTGCAAAAGAGTTCTTTTCCGCTCCTTATTTCTAACTAGTGAAGCTGGCTTCCTTACCAGAATATCTCCCTATAAAAGGGATGCTTCCCAAGTCTGCTTTTGGCTGCTAGCACAGCCTCTTTGGGTCATATAGATAGGTGGTCCTCAACTTACGACGACAACGGAGACCAAAATTTCCATTGCTAAGCAAGGCAGTTGAGTGAATTTTGCCCCAGTTTATGACTTTTCTTACCCCAATTGTGAAATGAATCACGGATTAATAACACGGATGTTAAGTGAATCTGGCTTCTCCTTTAACTTTGCATGTTAGAAGGCTGCAGTGGCGTTCACACAACCCTGGGATCCTGCAAACTGTCATTAGCCAGTCGCCAAGCTTTTTGACCACATGGCCATGGGGATGCTGCGATGGTCCTAAGTGTGAAGTCACTTTTGCCAGGGCTGCTGTAATTTTGAATGGTCACTAAACGAATGATGGTAGGTTCAAGGACTACCTGTAGGGTGGGACCCTTGTGACTTGCAACTTGTGATCTTTATCTATCCTGGTTATGACACTGGGGGGGGGAGCAAACTTAAAAGAAAACAACAGTCCCAGATTCCCAGCCCACAAAAGATCCCTCTGTTTGCTCTTTTTTTTGGGGTGTGTGTGTGCAATCTGAACCTCTTAAACTGGAGATGTGGGGAAGAGGGTCTGCCAACCAGGTGCTCCGTCAGAGAACCAGAATCCTTTCCTAAGGTTTTTTTCGTCCTCCGTTTGAAGTGCCGCCACCGTTTTACGGAACGGTAACCCGATGTGGTGTCCCACGCAACTTTGCAGATGCTGTGTCTCTTGGCCAGCATGGAACTGAAACAGGTAATCCCCGGCTCCCAGGGGGTACGATCACAATAGCGCAGTCTTCAAAACCCCTAATAGGTCCTTTGTTCTGACAAGAGTTTCNTAAACTTGCAACGCAACTTAGAAGCTTTCTCTTAAGGAAGGAGAAAAAAACTGGAGGACGTTTTAAGGGAACCCTGGAGTTATTTGCATACAGGGAGTGAACCAGAAAAGGATGCTTGAGAATCGGTCGTCTTCCCTTTTGCCAAGAAGCTCATTTCACCGATAGCAATTTGGGGTCCCGGGGAAACGGTAGAGTCTTGATCCGGTGCCAGCAAAATCTGCTTGGCTGGAGGGCGTGCCTGACGGATCCAACATTGACACTAATTATTCAATTACCGTGGAATGCGCTTAACGCTCCGCTAGAAGTGACTCGGATTCCCCTCTTGGCTCACCGTGCAGACAGCTGTGGTTCCGCAAACATCTGCCTGGGGCAACAGAGGCTGAGGAACCTGGGGATCTTGTACAATTGGCCCCCAGTGGCCCTTTCGTTTATAAAAGACGGGAAAGGGTGTTTAAAGAGGCTATCAGGATCCAGGAATTACCCTGTGAAGGAAGACCGTATCCTTAGCAACGTCCCAAGTGAGAAAGATGGTAGGAACTATACAGAAAATGTGAAGAAGGAGCAGGTTGGTTTTTTTTTCTGTCTCCCAATGGACACAAAACTGCCTGGCTAATCAAACGTAAGTTTTAGGACAGTGATGGCGAACCTTTTAGAGTCCGAGTGCTCAAACTGCAACGCAAAACCCAATTATGCATTGTCGGGTGCCGGGTGGGTATGGCCTATTGGGTGGGCGTGGCTGCGGTGGTAACGGCAGACTGGGTGGGACTAAAAAGTTCAATCAATCAATTCCAACTTTGCAAGATCTTTTTTTTCACCGCGAGAAGTTGAAATTGACTGATTGATTGAACCTTTTTTTTTTTTTTTGCACATGGCGGAGGCCTAAAGCAAAAAGGTTTTATAAAACCCAGCTGAAGGCCTAGGACTGGGGCGACGGCGCACGTGCCCACAGAGAGGGCTCTGAGTGCCACTACTGTTTTAGGAGGACATTTGTTTTACCCAACATATTTTTTTTTAAAGAAGAATAAAATCTCATTTTAAGTTTCCGAGACCATCTAATGATTCTCTCATTGGGGAGTTTCTGCCTTGTGGTGTTAATCCATTCATCTCCACCCTCACTTGAGAGCAGAATAATTACAGAATAACAGATTTGGAAGGGACCTTGGAGGTCTTCTAGTCCAACCCCCTGCTCAGGCAGGGAACCCTATACCATTTCAGACAAATGGTTGTCCAATCAATTCTTAAAAACTTCCAGTGTTGGAGCATTCATTGCTTCTGGAGGCAGGTTGTTCCACTGGTTAATTGTTCTAACTGTCAGGAAGTTTCTCCTTAGTTCTAGGTTGCTTCTCTCCTTGATGAGTTTCCATCAATTACTTCTTGTCTTGCCTTCAGGTGCTCTGGAGAGTAGGTTGACCCACTCTTCTTTATGGCACCCTCTCAAATATTGGAGGACTGCTATCATGTCACCCCTAGACATACCCAATCTGCTCCACTGTTTTCCCCAGAGAAATCCTACAAGGGGCAACGTGCATTCAAACTTGCATTCTTTCTGCTCCGTGCTTATTTCCTGGAATCGGGGGTCGCTGCTTCATGGTATGTCGGCGGACAATCCGGTCACAGACATCTGGCGGGGAAGCTGTGATTGGGTAGAGCCTCCAGGCTTGTCTGTGGGCACGTCCACCTGGCCGAAATGGATGGGCTTGCTTTGAAGCAGATCCTGGCCTAGCCTGGGGCTAGCTTGGTAAATGAAGCAACAATAAATCAATTGCTGGGCTGCAGTGGCACAGTGCTTCACGAGATGAATTATCCTTCCCTCCTCTTGGATAGGAAGTCAGTAGACCAGTCTGGATAATGATCTTTAAGATGGATGGGTAGCGGTTTTCTGGATCTTTGGGAATCCTGTGTAGCAGGGCCAAGGAACGAACCAGGGACCTTAGCAAATGCAACAGCCAGTATGTGCATTTGCAGAGTTCCAGCAAATTGATTGGAAGCCCAATATAGTAGACATTGAGAAAATATTTGGAGGTGGCTGGCTAATATATTTAGCTGCGTAAATAGCATCCTTTTCATCTATGTTTAGAGACTAGTGGTTGGATCTTATCTTTTCATTGGCCGGATTCTTCAATGCACTCTATCTTTTGACGGCTTAATCAGAATCGCATTATGTCCTAATCAAGCACATATAGCGTGCTCATTTCTTTTCCTGGTCTGAGGGGGGGGGCAGTTGTCTCTAGTTCCTGGTGTTCCCCAGCTGTATTTTATTTTTAAGAGCACTGGTACAAATTACTGTTTTAGTAAATTGAAACAACCCCTTCTATATGTCATTGCTGGCTTTTAACTTCCCCTCTTCTTTCTGTGGAGCGATTGTCATCTCACTGTTCCCCTTTCATCTTGGATCCTTTTTAATCCCCACAGAGATGAAAATCTAGAAGAAGAAGAAGAAGAAGAAGAAAGGATGGGGGGGGCAGGGAATCTAAAGGCTATCAATTTCATATCCCCTCCCTCCTCTATGGAAATTTTGTTTCTTGGATTTCAGATCCAGAATTAAGAACTGGAAGGTTCATAGGCAATGAAGGGAATGGAAGATTTTTCCACCAGCTGCCTGCCTGCCTGCCATCCCTGGCTTGCAGAATCTCAGTGTCACTGTTTACTCTTCCTTTCTTTAGATGCTAGAGTCCCCAGACCCGCCCATCACCGATCCACGCCGGACATGGATTTCGTTTGTACAGCGTCCGGGTGAAGGAAGCAACTCCAAAAAGAAATGCAAAGGAAAAGATAAAAAAGTAGGTTATTTCCAGAAGCTTTTGCTAGCCGGTAATGATAATGCTGACCATGACGACGACGTCGATGCATTCAAATGCTGCAGGGTGGGATGGTGCGGTCCTTTGGACGTTCTAACTAGCCAGATGACCAATTGTTAGCTAATAACCATTGTCAGACTGATGATGTGGGATCTGCAGAAAATTAAGTGATCGGGCTTAATAGGACCCTCCGTTGCACCCTCCGTTGCATCCTTCTCTAATTTTCCTTGCTGGTTTATTTGATCTCCACAATCAATGATCCAATGGGCGGTTTCAGAAGTTTGTTCTCTGGAATTGTCCCTTTCGGTCACACATGGAAATGCACACAGGTTTTCCGGCATCCCCTACAGCAGCGGTTCTCAACCTATGGGTCGCGACCCCATTTGGGGTCGATCAACCATTTCATGGGGGTCGCCAAGCAAGGCTGTCCGCCATTTTTTCCCCTTTTCTGGCGGGTGCCTTACCTCCCTTGAGCTGGGCCAGCTGGTGGTCGGCCTGCTCCGTCTCTGCCGCTTGCCAGCTACGCCTTGGCCGGCGCAGGGGGCGGAACCACGCATGCGCGGCACTCCCGGGCAGGGAAAGTCCTCGACTTACGACCGGTTGGGTAGTCCTCGACTTACGACCGGTTGGGGTCGCAGCATTAAAAAGGTTGAGAACCACTGCCCTACAATAATTGCTTAGGAGACCCTGATCTGATTCCTAAAACGACAGTTCCAGTGTGAATCTGGTTGGTGGCAGATCTGCAAGGTCTCTTTTCTTGAACGAGCTGTCAGCGCTACCCCAGGGCCCACTTGCTCACTGCCTTTCTGTTCATTTTTCTCAGCCGTGGTTTCAATCTGTCTCCCTTCCGTTTCCGTTTGAGAAAATCCCCCACATTCGGAGAGGTTTTCTTCCCAATGCCATATATACAATTGGAGAGGGATGCAGTTTTGCTTCGTGTGCCATGTTGACGAAGAATTTTCTCCAAAATGTGGGCTATTCTCTAAAAGGTGTGTCATTCTCACCATTGCTTACATAACACTGACTGGGGAATCCTGAAGGCGGCATCAGCAAAACAGCATGGGTGCAATCGCCAAGTATTAATTTTGATTTTACTCAGATTAAGGGAAACTACGTTTGGGATGAAAGCTTTTTGCGTGGGAAAAAAAGCTTGGTTTTTGTACGCACCGTTATTTCTCTTCTGAACATCTAGCAAAGCTGGTCAACTCTACACTTTTCTCTCTTTTTTTCCTACACTGATCTTACTTTCCCGGGATACTTTTTTTTTTTTTTTTGCTGTTGCCAGGGTGACATTCTAAGCTGCTCCATGATGCTACCCATTCTAGTTGAGTCATTGGCCAACTCTGCGCCCAAACAATCCCTGGCATTTTGTCATTTCCCCATGATGGCACCCTTCTCCCACTTGGATATCCTGTACGCCCCATGGAAGGATTGCAGGGAGGAAGCAAAACTGAACAATTCCCTGTAGAATGTGTCTTGTCCACATGTTTACAGCTATTTCAGAAGCAGTGATGATGGTCTTCAAAGACTTTGACCCAGCTTAACAATGCCCCTTGGTTTCTCAGAACAGGTCCAAATCAACCCATGAATTTGGGACTTGGCTAATTAAATGGCAATTGATACTTCTGCATGAGATGGTTTCTGAACGTCTTCCGTTTCCCTATTATTATTATTATTTTTCTAGCGTGGTCTTGCTGGTCCTCCAGGGCCCCCAGGTCCTCCAGGGCCCCCTGGTCTTCCTGGAGCTGAAGTCACCCATGAGGTCTTAATGCAAGAATTTAAAGAAATGTTAAAAGGTAAAGCAGCTCTTCTCCAGCCCTTTTTTTTTTACTTTTCTGGAGACAAAGATCGGTTCAGGGTAATCCCAGCTGCAACCCTTTTTTCTTCCAGAAGCTACCGAACGGCGGGCATCTCCAGTTCTCCCATCCCATCCCAGTGAGATGCCTGTGATGTTACTGCCTCTGGAGGAGATATCCCTCTACCGCCGAGTGGAGGAAGCCTTCCACTGCAAGCTCAAGGGCCAAATCATCGTGGACAAGAAAACTTTGAAGGAACTCCAGAACTTTCAGATGGTAAGGCAAACGTAGGAGCTCTTATTAGGTGTTAGGAAAACACAACAACAACACAGGGTCTGATTACAATGCAAATAGATCTGGAGTGGGCTAGTGGGGCCAGGGCACGAAGCCACTGGAACTGGGCTTGATCCGAGCGAGGCTTCTTAGTTATGGTAGCCTAACATCTGGCAGTGCTTAGGCACCTTGTCTCGCTCCGAAAAAAAAAAAAAAAGGTTCATATCAGGTAGTATCCGAATGTGGGATTCAGCAGAATTTATTTATTTATTATTTATTTATTTATTAAATTTATATACCGCCCTATCTCCCTTACGGGACTCAGGGCGGTGAACAGGCAATACTAAAAACCACGATAATAAATAAATAGTTTCTGTTCTAAAATCAAATTAAATAACAGGCCTGTTCTAAAAACACCCCATACAAAAACCCCCACTAAAACATAATCAAACTACACCAGGCCGGCCGCACGGAATAGATGGGCCTTCAGGGCTCGGCGAAAAAGGCGCAGGTCCGCAACTGTACGTAGGTCGGGGGGGTAGGTCATTCCAGAGGGCAGGAGCTGCCACAGAGAAGGCTCTCCCCCTGGGGGTCGCCAGCCGGCATTGTCTGGCCGACGGCACTCTAAGGAGGCCCTCTCTGTGGGAGCGGACAGGTCGAAGGGAGGTGTTTGGTAGGAGGCGGTCTTGCAAATACCTAGGTCCATTGCCATGGAGCGCTTTAAAAGTTGTTACTAACACCTTGAAGCGCACCCGGAAGGCCACCGGCAGCCAGTGCAGCTCGCGCAGGAGAGGTGTTACATGGGAGCATCTAGAGGCCCCCAAAATTTGGGAGACCAGCAGAAAATCCCAGAGCTGTAGACTAGACTGGGCGGTCAGAGAAGTAAAAGATGTCGGAAAAGTCAGGGGCCACCATTTATATACTGTCGCCCAAAAAACCCCTGCCTGTAGTCATCAGCAGTCGAGATTGCCCAGAGAAATCTTGGAGTAGGATTAAGTAGGAAAGCTATGGAACTATATTGAAATGTGTTGGCTGATTCCAACGTTTGTTTTCTTTGTGCTGGAGTTGCTTTCTTCCTTTGTATGAGTTCTCCTTATGAAAGACAGAGCCTCCGTTGCTGTGTTTGTAGCAGCTAAGCCTTTAAAAAAAAAGAAGAGGTTGGCGAAGAAACGTTCGAGGGAGTGGAGATTAGAAAAACTGTCTCTTTGAGTCCAGGCAGGGTCAAAGTTCTCTCCAGGGATAACGTTGGTGCCACTCTAATTGGTGTGGAGAAGACATCTTAATAGCCATCAGTGCACAGGCCAAGGTTGAATTGAGGCAGGCTGTCCTTTTCTAATTGGGCTTGGCAGATTCTCAGACGCCTGCCTTGCCAGCCAGCACATTTGTGCCATCTTCAGCGGGCCTCAGCCAGATTGGGTTAGAGCATTCCTACAGCGATGTATCCGAGGCACGGCTGCCTGTGGGCCCAGCCAGCCCGATGACAGAGTCCTGGCTGGTCGTGATGAAAAGAAAACGAGGCTATTGTCACGAAGGTTTCAACACTTTCATCGGTGGTTGCTGCGTTCACGGCCATCTCCACGCAGGTCTCTTAATGAGCATTTGATCCTCCATCAGCGTACTTCGGTTGCTCTGCGTTTGCAAAGTGCAATTATATGGCTGGCTTTAAAAAAAAAAACATGTTTTCTTCTTCTAAGCCACTTGGAGAACATCTCTGAAGGAGAGCACATTTATGCGGATCTTAGAGAGGGATGACAGTCTTAATTTAGGAATGTTGATCTTTAGGTCACCCAGCAGAAGTCATCTGAAGCACGCAGAGAGGAATATCGGGAACTCAACAGGCACCCCAATGTTGGTTGAAAGAGTGTTTAAAAACAAAATGAAGGGGGAGGGATTTTATATCTGATGCAGACCAGCAGAAAATCCCAGAGCTGTAGACTAGACTGGGTGGTCAGAAGTAAAAGATCTCGGAAAAGTCCATTTATATACTGTTGCCAAAAAAACCCCTACATGCTCTGCATGTAGTCATCAGCAGTCGAGATTGCCCAGCGAAGTCTTGGGGTAGGTGTGAACCTGGGATCAGATTAAGAGCAAAATAGGGATTTTACTGCTGAGCGACACCACGGAAAGAACAGCAAAGCATCCTGGGACAGTAGAATCAGTTAGAAATGTACGATGGCTCCAGGCTGAGATCTGATTTGTGTCTCACATTTTCTTCCTAAGCGCTGGAGACTTATTTTATTTTTATTTTTTTAAAAAAGAAATATCAGTCAGGAGGTGGAAATAAAAGAATTTTGTTTTGTCCATTGTCCAGAAGTAAACAAAGGAGGGTGACTGCATGTTGTAGTGTTTGAATCCAAAAGGATTCAGCACTCCATTTTCTCTTGAAGGTGAATTCATGTCATTTGGGAGAAACAAAAGACCCACTTTTATTTGGGGGGGGGGTGGTTCAGGGTGGCTCATGGCTCTATTCCCCCTTCCCCAGCTATAATTAAACCAATTTTGCAATCTTGGAGGCTTAAGGGCTGTGTCAGGGAAACTGGCAGATTGTTCTAACTGGCGAGCAGTTTAACCTATTAGCGTATCGCGATTAATTCCATTCCTTCCTAGAGCACCACATTAATTCTTTCTCTTTGTGAGTGTGTTGAGAGAGTGGGAGCAAGACGTGAAGAAACAGGAATGTTTTTTCAAGCGGTAATTTACTGGTGCCGGAAAACTGCTTTCTATTTTCAAGTCAGCGGTTTTTAGGGGAATTAAGTCACTGCCTCTGATTTTTTGTTTAATTGGTTTTAACGAAACAGGCAAGAAATTGGAGCTGTCAGAAAGCACTGCCATCTCCAGAAAAGAAGGGAGTAAACCTTAGAAGGGGATCAAAGAACTGTGAAGAAAATCAAGACAGAGAACCCTGAGTCAAATTACTTCATCGTCCACTATCTAAACCAGGTTTTTGTTTTGTTTTTTTCAAACTTGGCAAACTTTGAGATATGTGGACTTCAGCCCCCAGAATTTTCCAGTCAAGCATATTGGTTGGGAAATTCTGGGAGATGTAGTCCACTCATCCCAAAGTTGCCAAGTTTGAAAATCAGTAATAATAATAATAATTAGTAATAATAATAATAATAATAATAATAATAATAATAATAATAATAATAATAATGATGATGATGATGATGATGATGATGATGATGATGATGATGATGATGATGATGATGATGATGATGATGATGATGATGATAAAGTTGGAAGGGACCTTGGAGGTCAGGAAACCCTATACCATTTCAGACAAATGGCTGTCCAGTCTCTTCTTAAAAACTTCCAGTGTTGGAGCATTCACCACTTCTGGAGGCAGGTTGTTCCACTGGTTAATTGTTCTAACTGTCAGGAGGTTTCTCCTTAGTTCTAGGCTGCTTCTCTCCTTGATTAGTTTCCACCCGTTGCTTCTTGTCCTGCCTTCAGGCGCTTTGGAGAATAGCTTGACTGCCTCTTCTTTGTGGCAGCCCCTGAGATACTGGAAGACTGCTATCATGTCCCCCCTCGTCCTTCTCTTCGTTAAACTAGACATACCCAATTCCAGCAACCGTTCCTTATATGTTTTAGCCTCCAGTCCCCTAATCATCTTTGTTGCTCTTCTCTGTACTCTTTCTAGAGTCTCAACATCTTTTTTACATCGTGGTGACCAAAACTGGATGCAGTATTCCAAGTGTGGCCTTACCAAGGCCTTGTAAAGTGGTATTAATACTTCACATGATCTTGATTCTATCCCTCTGTTAATCCAGCCCAGCACTGTGTTGGCTTTTTTGGCAGCTGCAGCACACGGCTGGCTCCTATTTAAGTGATTGTCCACTAGGACTCCGAGAGGGATCTAAGTTTATACATTCAACACAGGAGCCTTTCACGGCAATAGCGCACATCAGTTGGCAGACATTACAGATTGATTGTTTCATATATGTCTAAGGCTTGCAACCCTACTTTTTTTTTTCAACACAACAATTCATTGCATGAGCCCATTTCAATTTAGGACCACGATGCCAGAGAAAGAAATGGGTGAGCCTGCAACTTTTTAATACCCAGTCCTATGTTTCTGCTCCCACTAGAGCGGTTTGCCCCCAAATGTGTCATAATATCCTGTAATCTTTCCCCAGTCTGATTGCCCACCACTTTATATAATGACCAAGCGGTAGATAGTAAATAGGATTTAAAAGGAAAAAGTGAGGGTTTCCTATATTTTTAGGAACACTAGCTTGAATGGTTAATCTTGCTAACTTCTTAATCTTCCTTCTTTTTTTAAAAAATAAATAAATTATTTGGATAGCATCTTCAATTCACCTTGCCAAGTTAGTTTCGCTGCCTCTTCCCCAATTCTGACATGGCAATAATAAGATGCCAAATTAATAGATTCCCCTCCCCCTCAAAAATAAAAGTTCAGTAAAGTTCATTTTCTCTTTTCCCCCCCTGAATTTGAGCCAAACCCGCACCGCATGAGCCAAAACTAACAATAAACATGCCACGCTGGGTTTATTTTAACTTAAGTCCGATAATCTTCCTTGCAAGCAGCCTGTCTAGAGCGAATTCACTTGTCGGGAAGCTGCTAAACTAGCGGCTTTAGGGCTGCTCGGTTGCCCGACACTCTTTATAAAGTAACAAGGAAAATAAAGTCCCTGAGCTTTGCCTCTGCAGAAGAAAGCAATTAGGTTGCTTAAGGGAGGTGTGAAATTTGCCTTGAAACACTTTGGGTTAGTCATCTTTAAAAAGAAAAAAGAAAGAAAGACTTTTTTTTGGCTCCTTTTGAAATCCCACAAATGTTTTGCTGACTTAAAAACAACAGCAGGTCTAAGGATTTGTCCATTTGGCTCTGCTGTTTTTCTTTGAAAGGTTTTGGGGATTTCAACCCCCCCCCCACTCCCCATTGCCTCTCCTTTTATCCCTCTTAAATTTGAAAGGCTGGGAATTGAACCTGCAGACCTCTGAACATATAGATGTTCAAACCACTGAGCTAAAATTCCTCTCTGCCTTAGCCGAGAGAGCCCAAAGGCCAGGCTAATGGTATTGACCCTTTTGTAACTCACATCGCAAAATCTTTCCAAAGTTCTGCAAATAATAATAATAATAATAATAATAATAATAATAATAATAATAATAATAATAATAATAATAATAAATCAGCTAGGATTGTGCAAAATCTTGTTTTCTCTGACATATGTTGCCCCGGGTTGCTTGACTGCAAGGATTTGGCAGCTTCCAAAACAATTTTTAGGAAACTCAGCAGATATGTTGCCTTCAAAGCCAAGGCAAGAGTCAGACATAGACTGTGGATAGGAGACCACCAGGAAATCACCATGGAAAAAAACAATAGTAAATTACTTCAATATTGTTGCCAAGAAATAGCTCAACACCATCACCAGAGGTTGAGTTTCAGGTTCTTACCTGTTCATGCAACACTAGTAATTCTTTCCCAAATAAGGCAACAGAAAGCTGAGGGAAAGAGAGAAATTGGAAAAGCTGAGCACATAGTATATATAAACCTAGCTCATTACACCTCTTACATATTATGGAATGGAAATAAAGAATGGTTGAACTGGTGGGAACAATATTTCAATTCTATTTTTTCCCCCCTTTCTCACACAGCCTTTAGCCAAAGGAGCTTTTCTCCGAGGATCTGGATTAAACTTAACAACTGGCAGATTTACAGCTTCAGTATCTGGAATTTATCAGTTTTCAGCCAACGTCCATGTAGGTGAGTGATAAAATTTATTTATGTATGGGTTCGAAAACTAATTTTTTCTTTCCACGGGCAATTCTCTGGTTTAAGAGAATGAATGTTGCCCCCCCCCCAAAAAAAAACACTATGCTGCCAAAGATCATGGCCAGGGGAGAAAAGCACGAGATGTATTTTGCTCTAAAAATGGAGCAGGATAAAACCAGTGGAAGAGTTTTGTATACATTCTTTTGCTCAAAGACATATTCAAAACTCTTCTGGTTGATTTTATCCTGCACCATTATTTTCAAACACTTAATACTTATGGGTTGCTGCTGCTCATAATCATGTGCATAAGAAGCCCCAGTAGTTACAGATCCTAATACATTTAAAGCTTAGATTTTTACTATCAGTGACTTCCATGTTTACCATGTTGCATAAAAACCATTTCGTGGACAAGAAAAAGGAACAGTGGCTAAATTTGTCCACTGCTTTCCTCTCAAGAGAACAGTGAGGAAGTGTTTGAGGTTCACAGTGTGTGCTATTTGTGTGAGGAAGTCAAAGCAATGCCACCTAATTGATGCTGGAGATGACCAAGGACAGGATTCGTGCAATAGCTTAGTTACACAATGGTGTTCTTCTGAATCTCAGGACCTTGGACAGCTCCACGTATCCAAATTGTTTTAACCAAGCCTGTTTTATCCTTCTTGGGCAGTTTACCTTTCTCAGATTACTTCCTATCCCTGTCATCTATATACTATAACAAAATAGTTAACAGGAAAAACAATAATAATAATAATAAACATATTATATAAAAGTATAAAAGTAATAAGGATTATTATTAATAATAAACTAGCTGTACCCGGCCACGCGTTGCTGTGGCTCAGTCTGGTTAAATGGAAAAGAAAGAAAAGAGAAAGCACGCACGTTTGTAATATGTTTAATTTCACAATGCTTGTGGGTACACAATATTTTTTGTTGTTCCATTGTCTGTGCAGATATAGAGATTGTCTGGTTTGCCGACTCTAGAACACGCAACATATAATTGTCCATGTGAGAAGCAATCCGTGTCTAGATCTAAACCGCGTAATTCTAAAGATTGGCCCTGAGCTTTGTGGATGGTGATTGCAAACGCCAATCGAATTGGGAATTGCAATCTCTTAAATTGAAATGGCATATCCGTTGGAATCATAAGCATGTTTTTACCTGTCACAGGTGTGACATCTATATAATAGTAGGTATATA